CGGTTCAGAATTTGCTCTACAAAATGACGGGGCTGAACTTGGAGAAAGTTTTCAAATCGGTTAAGAAGGAGCTGAAGCCGCCCACGTACAAGCTGATGACCGAGGCGCAGCTGGAGGAGGAAGGGGCCGCGCGGGCCCCTCGCTGCTTCCTGCAGCGCTGCCTGTCTGCGCTCACTGAGCTTGGCTTGGCTTTATGTTCCCGAGCAAGCCTGCCTTGGAGCGAGCCTGGAATAACCTTGGCGCTTTCAGTAATGTCCGTGGCTTTTTGCTTGGGGCCTCCCTCCCGCGATGTGTCTTGAGTTACTCCAATAGTGCTTGTTGTTTTTATGTGTTTATTTTATTTTATTTTTTTTTGTATGCATATATATTGAATTCATGTCTTAAGTGCAGGAATAAAATATGTACTTTGCTCTAAATTAAAACATTTGGCCTGAAATTGTGTGCTAGCTTTCCAATAGAATGTTTTTTATTATAAAGTTGATTCTTATAATTAGTAACTAAATAATTTATTATTATAACTAATAACTATTGTTATTAGGCCACAAGAAAAGCTATTGAGGAAGCTAAAGAAAAACTCCGAATGCCTCCTGTTTTGAATGAACGAGAGCCGATCGATGATGTATTAGCAGAAGACAAAATCCTTGAAGGAACTGAAACTGCAAAATATGTGTTTACTGATTTAACTTATTCCACTCCACATCGTGTGAGTATCTGAACATATAAATACATTTTAAGAGCTTTTCTTTTGTAATTTCAAAATAAGCTTTAGGTTTTAATATATTATTGTAGTGCATGAAAAATTTGGGGAATCTGAAATTAACGTCCTGGTAAATTAAAGTCTTTGGTGCAAGGTAATACAGAAACACATACCTCAGAATATTCTAATAGATAATGATAAATTACATTTCGGTGCTGAAAAAGAGTCATTTTGGGGACTTGGCAGGAAGGGGAGCTCTGTGGTAGTTCTTTATTTTAAAGGAGGTGCTTGTGATTTGCTAAGCTGGTTATTGGGAGTGCTGAGTTCATCCACACTTCCTGGAAGTTGGTGTTGAGTTGCTCAATGCTCAATGCTGCTTTGTGTAAACCAAAAGATCACACTACTTTACAGGGGCAAATATCTGATGGAAATTTGAGCTAGGTTTGTATAATAAAACTTCTGGACCGTCTAAAGTGGCAGTCAGAGACCAGAAGGACTTCCAACACATCATCGTGATTTTAGGAAATCAGCATGGTCCAAGCATGCATAATATGGATGATAGTGGGAAATGAATTGCCAAGCCTTGCCTCTGTGATTTGAGAGGTCTCCCACTGAACCTTGGTGGTGTTTATTCTTCTGCCTCAGGGTATTTAGACTTTCCTCATCCCAAAGAACTCTGAGTCTGCAGCCCTAAATCAAGCACTTGTCAATGGGTCTGAATATTTTGTATGGGTTTTAGCTATGTTTTGTACTGCAGTTGCCCTTGCCAAAAGCACAGGGTTTGCACTTACTACTTCTCGAACAAGTTTTAAAAAGTACTTAGATTATGCTTGCATTTTTTATTTAGTATACATTTTAAATGAGACTGCCATTTTCTGCCTATTAGTTATGTTTTTCTTCTGTTTTTGCGGAGCTGTGGCTTTTAATGTAAGCACAGAGAGATATCTCTACGTGTTAAGATTAAAATGCAAATTTAGCACTTAATTAGCAGAGACAAAGGGAGAAAAGAGATGTAGCTCATGCTACATCTGCCAGAAAGAAACGGTACGTTCAGCACGAGTTTAGGCACAGTAGGATATTCCCAACCAACAGTCTGTCTTACAGTGGTTCTGAGTGTGAAGACTAGAGCTTTTCCC